TTTTTGGGGATTTTTTGGGGATTTATGGGGGATTTTTTGGGATTTTTCAGGGATTTTTTGGGGATTTTGGGACATTTTTGGGGGATTTTTTGGGTTTTTTTAGGATTTTTTTGGGGATTTTTTGGGGATTTATGGGGGATTTTTTGGGATTTTTCAGGGATTTTGGGGGGATTTTTGGGGATTTTTGGGGGATTTTTTGGGGATTTTTTAGGATTTTTGGGGGATTTTTTGGGATTTTGGGGGGATTTTTGAGGAGGATTTCTTGGGCGGATTTTGCGGGGATTTTTTTGGAATTTTTGGGGGGTTTTTGGGGGTTTTTTGGGATATTTTGGGATATTGGGGCGTTCCCCTGGGGCGGCTCCTGGACGAGCTCGTGGTGCCCCCAAACATGATCGGGTGGGCGGGAAAACCTGGCATTCCAGAATCGGGGATTTTGGGGGATTTTTTGGGGATATTTGGGGATTTTTTGGGATGTTTTGGAATTTTTGGGGATTTTTCGGGGATGTTTGGGAATTTTTTGGGGTGTTTTGGGATTTTTGGGTATTTTTGGGATTTTTTGGCGGTTTTCGGGATTTTTTGGGATTTTTTGGGATTTTCTGGGATGTTTGGGAATTTTTTGGGATATTCTGGCATTTTTTGGGATGTTTTAGGATTTTTTGGGATGTTTGGGGGTTTTTTGGGGATTTCTTGGGATGTTTTGGGGTTTTTTTTTATTTTTTTGGTATTTTTAGGATGTTTTGGGATGTTTTAGGATTTTTTTTTGATTTTTTGGTATTTTTGGGATGTTTTGGGATGTTTTGGGATTTCGGGGGTTTTTTTGGCATATTTTTGGGACGTTTTGACATTTTTGGGACGTTCTGGCGTTTTTTGCGATTTTTTTTTTATTTTTCGGTGATTTTTGGGATGTTTGGGGGGTTTTCTTGGATTTTTTGGGAATGTTCTGTCGTTGCCAGCGTGATCCTGGAGGTGCCGGTGACGGAGCCGGAATTCCTGGAGCAGCTGCGGGAGCTGAACGGGAAGATCGAGGCGGTGAAGGAACAGGCCTTCCGAGACACCCTCGCCTGTGCCGACGTCCAGCACGTCCTGGAGAAGCTCAAGGTCAAGGTGGGAACCCCCCCGGGATTCCTGGGAATGCTCGGGATTCCTGGGAATGGCTGGAATTCCAAGGAATGGCTGGAATTCCAAGGAATGGCTGGAATTCCAAGGAATGGCCAGGATTCCAAGGAGAACCCAAAAAACCAGTGGGAGGGGACTGGGAGGTAAAATCCAGAACGTGGTGGAGAAGGTCAAGGTCAAGGTGGGGAGGCCCCAAAAATCCCTGGGAATGATCCCAGAATTCCAAGGAATACCCCCGGAATTCCTGGGAATCACCGGGATTCCAAGGGCAACCCGGAATTCCAAGGAGAACCCAAAAAACCAGTGGGAGGCCAACTGGGAGCACTGGTAGGAAGTGGGAGGCAAAATCAAGGTGGGAAACTCCAGAATCCCTGGGAATGATCCCAGAATTCCAAGGAATGGTCCCAGAATTCCAGGGAATGCTCAGAATTCCAAGGAATGGCCGGGATTCCAAGGAGAACCCAAAAAACCAGTGGGAGGGCAACTGGGAGCACTGGGAGGAAGTGGGAGGCAAGATCAAGGTGGGAAACTCCAGAATTCCTGGGAACGATCCCAGAATTCCAAGGAATGGTCCCAGAATTCCTGGGAATGGCCGGGATTCCAAGGGGAACCTGGAATTCCAAGGAGAACCCAAAAAACCAGTGGGAGGGCACTGGGAGGGCACTGGGAGTGAGTGGGAGGCAAAATCAAGGTGGGAAACTCCAGAATTCCTGGGAATGGTCCCAGAATTCCAAGGAATACCCCCAGAATTCCAAGGAATGGCCGGGATTCCAAGGAATGGCTGGGATTCCAAGGAGAACCCAAAAAACCAGTGGGAGGGGTCTGGGAGGTAAAATCCGGAACGTGGTGGAGAAGGTCAAGGTCAAGGTGGGGAGGCCCCAAAAAT